CAACCCCCCTCCCGCGGCCCCAGCCCCAACCCCCACCCCCACGCTATGCGCCTTGTGCAAGGCCATGCGTGATCAGCCGTGGAGCAAAAAAGTCGTGCCATCGGTTCTTGTGACACCCCTTTGGCCTCTGCTTCTGTACGCATTGTCAAGCGTTGCAAACAAATGCCAACGATCAAATCATGCACGGACACGAGATTGCTATTTAAAAGAGGTAGACAGATGTACAGAAGCGATACAAAGAGCAGGGGAGTAGTACCGGGTAGTAGCAGCAATATATCAATGTTTGTAGATCTGTAGCTATGCGTTGCACGATCACGAGGCGCCAATGGCGAATCAAAAGTCTACATAGCAGGTGCAACGACGGATCGTCTAGTAGCCGGTCCCGCAGGCAGGTCCCACAGCCCATCCTTTGGTGCCACATTGATATCTCCATATGGTTCAGGTTGATCCAGCGCAACCGCATCCTTCGTAGCGAGCACTAGCAGCTCGAAGAAAAATCCCGCCGCCGCTCTCCTCGAAGCTCCTTGCGAGACGCTATCGAAGCTAATCTCTTTGCCCTTCGCTTCCGCCTCTCTGCGCTCTCCCAACTCGCTCCTCATCACCCGCAATGCCCTAATCGTATTGTTAGTCAATCCGCTCTGCACCGCAGCTTGCTTTTCCGCATCCGCCGGTCTCGCATCGAACGCTGCTAGCGGGTTGCTGGAACTGGGAGAGTATCCAATCACCCCTTCATCCTCTTCCTGTCCCTCGTCGCCTTCGGGCGTAGCGAGTCTAGAAAGAGGCGCCAATCTTCCCGTGATGGTCTCCTCCGTCGCGCCCGCCTCAGCTTTGCTCTTCCTCATGGATCGTCTCAAGCCTGCTTCTTCAGCAAACTCGCCTCCTGCTTCGGGCAGCACGTCCGGCATGCCTGCATCATCCATCATCAGATCCAATCCCTCCTGTCCGTACGTGTCATCGCCGCCTAGGTCCAGAAAACCGCTCTGCTGGTCAAAGTTGGAAGCTTCTCGCCGTCCGATTTCGCTAAGCTCCTCCGTTCGCATCCTCTTTGCGCCGGGCTCTCCCAAAGCTGCGCTTTCCGCCTGTCGTCTCCTCCTCAGCGCGTTCGTGTCAAAGGTAAAGAGGCTCGTAAGCTGCGGTGCTAGGCCTTGGGGCCCTGCGAACAGGGAGGTGCTGCCGAGCTTGTCGGAGAGCGAGCTGAAAGGGAACAGCTTGGAGGGGTCGGCTTGCATCGCGAGCAACTGCAGATAGACGCGAGACTTGGGCAGGTACGACTCGGGGCCTAGCGCAGCGGTGTTGAGGTGAGCAAGACTTTGACTTCCAGGCGCAGCCTCGGCCAGCTCGATGCGCGCATCGACTATCTGCCTCTTGCCTGCGCCTTTGCCAGCCAACTTGGCCTCTTCCGCCAGTCTGCGCTCAGCTGCCTCACGAATCTTGGCAGCCGTGCGTGGGGTCATGTCTATCGTGTCGTCTGTGATTGCGGGCGCTGTAGAAAGGGCAATGATACGCGTCAGACCTTGCCAAAGTGTAAGGCCCATCGACTGGCCTGCTCACCTTCGGAGCCCCGTGCCAAAGAGTCACCGCCGTCGAGAAAATTGAAGCCGCCATCATCGTAATCTGGCAGAGGCCCCAGGCTGTCCCTGCCCACTCCAAGTGTCTCGTCGCCCTCTGCACCCAAGCCGAGCAAGCTGCCGACACTGCGTGCACCCACCTCGCTTCCAGCGGCGTCTCGGCCGATGCCCACGCTGAGACTATCATCAGCCGCACCGGGACCCTCTCCAAAGCCTCTCCTCTCCACTTCATCGTCGTCCAGCTCGAGTCCAAGGTCTAAGCCTCCGTCTTCGAAGTCTGCCGAGGCAATGCCAGTCTGAGTCATGTCCCACGCAGCATCGTCTTCGTAGCTCTCGTCCAAAAGACGCGGCAGTGTAATGTCTTGAGCACGTGCCAAGTGAGTGGAGCCGCTCTGAGCACCACTGCCGGGACGCTTGCTGCCGTGCGGTCTGGGAGTGCCACCTCGACCAGTTTCAAGATCCCAATCTTCCAGACCGACATCCGGCGCGTACATGTCGAATTCGGTCATGGTGGGCTGAAGAGTTATGGCGTTGCGAGACGCGTTGAGGTTGTCTGTTGTCATATCAACGGCACCTGATCGGAAGGCCTGTCAACGGTGCGAGCAGAGAGGATGAGCCAGGATGGAGGGAAAGCAAAGAAGCATGCAATCACTCACCACCTTGATTTTGAGCAGCGCATCGTTGCAATCGTCCAGTAAATATTTGGTTTTGCGAGAGTAGATGCGGACGACACCGAGCAGTAGCTGACCAGTCAGACGGAGGGCCATGGGTGCGCCGGACTGGCCCATGATGGCCTCTGTTTGGGGGGTGTCAAGCAAGCCACGTCAATTTGACACACGTCCATGGTCAGCATGAGAGTTGCTCGACCAACACTCACCAACACTCTTGCCAACGCTCGTCTTGAGCAGGACAGCCTTGGTCAACCTTCTCTCCATATGCGCGGCCAGCCAGATGTTGCCCAGCGGGCCGCGCTTCGAGAGGATGACATCCGAGTAGAACATCTTGACGAGGCGTGGTGTGCTTCAGAAAGTAGGAGCGATGACCATGCCAAGACCCGGGAGAGTGAATGAGGGGTGCAACAGGCGAACAAGGAAAGATTTGTCGTTCCCGCCTGTGAGTGGATGGATTCCGGATTGGGTGCCAGCGAGCCAGAATCCAGGTCCAAATGATCCCTCTCTGCGCACAATAGCTGACTGACACGGCAGAGGAACCGGCTTTAATGCAATAAATACGAGGCTTTGACGGATGTTGATGAACGGAAGGAAGCGTGGTGGTCGTGGATGGAATTCAGAAGCGCGGGTCAAGCTCCGTCTGTGGATGGATGCGGTTAGGCCAGCATTTACGCGTGCGGCGCGCGCGCGCGGGGGGCATGCATCCAGCACGCGCAAACGCGCCGCGCGGTCGAGCATGCATGCAGTCAGCAGCATGGATGCCGGATGATCCCGCTGACACTGCTCCAGCGCTCTTACTGCTGTACATGCGCGTGCTCTCATGCAGTGCACTCACTACGCATGGATGTTCACCCAGCCAAATTACTCGCGTCGCGTTTTGCTCACCTAGCTGCTGCTATACTGTAGCTGCATGCCGCGCTCTTTGCACGAGAGTCTTGAGTTCCGAGAAACTTGCCACGTGACTCGCGTTCCCGACGAATCGGCAGCTCCACATCGTCATCCACGTCGAACTACCCTCACGCCTAGGGCTGGTCTTGAACAAACCACCTGCATCACAAGTGCCACCTCGCTATCTGTCTGCTGCCACTCTTCATGATAAGCGCGTTCATGCAGCTGCATCGAGCGTTGTAGCAGCGCATACACTCACGTCATACGCCCCGATCCGCTTCCCAGCTGTCGGCAGTGCCACGCACGCAGACAGAGAGGAAAGAGAGATGACCTCTGACGCTTTGGATTCGGACAACGCATGCCACCCACGAGCGTGCGCCTTGCAAAGCTGCATGCAAAAGCATCTGGATCAAGACAAGTGTTCAGAGCAAGTCAAGGATCTTTATCGGTGCTGCGGCAAGTTTTACGCGAGGCATGGGCCCAGCGCAGAAGTGGATGCTTGTCCCCTCTTGCACGTCGTACAACGCAAATTGAAAGGGTTTGGCGAGCAAGGCTTGTTGCACGGTGTGCAGGAGAAGAAGCACTGAGCGCATGCCCATCGGACACGGTGCGATGTCGCACAGGTGCATCAGGCAGGCCTATCATCCTAGCGACCTGCCTGCCAGGCCTTGGACCAGCGTAGCCGTCGCACCGGACGAACTGCGCCTCTTCAGCTGCAGCGGAGCAGGCTTGTACCTCAAAGAAGACAAGTCGGCTCCTCATGCGCGCGGATTCGTCATCCTCACCACACATCGCATCCTCTTTGTGCCTGCTGCCGAGCTGAATCCGCACGATGGCATCGAGGTGTATCTGAGGGATATCAGGCAGACTGAGCACTACGCTGGATTCCTCAGCTCGAGCCCCAAAGTATCGCTTTTGCTCGCTCCGCCTGGCACCTCAACGCACTCCGAGCGTACGCCTTCCGCAGTCGCTGCTCCGCTGCCAAGCGCTTCCACTCGACCATCGAGCAGCTCGGCGTCCAGACACCTAGCAGCGTCCGCGGCGCAGAATGACCTGCAGTACGCCTCCGACGGTGATGCATGGGTTTGCGCCATTTGCACCTTTTCAAATCAAGCCAGCTCGGTGTGTCAGCTGTGCGGCGTACCCAAGCAGAAAGCGTCGGCTCAAGAGAATGCGGGACGCGCTTCGGCAGCGTCGCGGCCACCTGCGACCACGTCTGGTCCAACAGATCCTCGCGATTCCTCAGCCAGCCATTCATCTGGAGGCGATGAGCTGGAGTACAGGTTACCGAGCAGGAAGGTGAGCCCAAATCGCGGCGGACCTGCCACTGCCACTGCCACTTCGGGGCAAGAAGAATCACACACCGCGACCGTCAAGAGGCGCTCTAGCAGCAATATCTGTCCGATTTGCACCTTCGCCAATCATCCTTACCTTCCCACGTGCGAATTGTGCGGAGCGCCGCTCTCTTCGACCAGCTCCAAGCTGTCGCTCACATCAAAAGGCGGGAACAATGACAGATGGCATGGGCAGAAATCGACCGAGTCAACATCTGGTGATGTGAATGGTTCGGAATCGCTCAAGATTGCCTTTAGGGAAGGCAAGGATAAGACGTTTTACAGTACGCTCAAAGGAGCTCTACGAGCTCGAGCGTGGGAAGATACGACGGACTCGAGGATGTCCTTGTTGCATGATCTCTCTTCAATTTCTGAACGGCGAGCATCTCCGCTCTCTTTGTCCAGTCCGGCCGCGCGCAGTAGTCCGGGCGCACACTCACCTGCTGCGGCTCACGCATCATCACCGGAGGGTGCGCGCAGACCCATCGGGATAGATGGGATCCTCTCCGCAGTGGACGCGCGAGCACAAGCGGACAATCAATCGCTCAGCATTGCCTTTTCGGATCTGGAAGCGCTAGCCTCTCAAGCTCGGAGGATGGTGGATCTTGCATCTTCCTTGTCGCTCAAGCTGGCCAAGGCCAAAGCGATCGGCGACGAGTCGGTGAGCGAAGAGACGCAGAGCTTGATCAGCCATTCCATGGTCACGTTGGGATTGAAGAATCCGGCACTGCTCAAGACGGAAGCAAAGGATGAAAAGGAATTCTTGTTGGGCTTGGCAAAGGAATTGGCCGGTCTGCTCTTTGGAATCGGAAGCGCTGCGCGGGACACTTCTTCTCGAGCAAGTCCCAACGCGACTGGAGGTCTGATGGGCAGGGGCAGGGTTACACATGCACCGCAAGAAGGGGCAACCCTCGCTGCTACCAGCACACCGGCCACCGACGATTCGTCCGAGTCGATTGATTCGAACTTCACAGGCATGATGGGTCTAGACGAAGCGTGGGTGATTTGGAACAGGGCAAGAGGCGTAGCGCTCATCTCTCCGGCCACATTCAGAAAAGTGGTGGACGTGTTGCCCTTGGTGACGAGTCCGATTATACGGATGAGGGTGCTCAGTTCGGGATTGAGGGTGCTTCATACGCCTAGATGGTCCGACGAATCCTTCCAGATGAGAATCAAGAGGTATTTGTACCCGTTCACATCGCAACAACATTCTTCCGCCCAGTCCCTCCCACAGACCAACAACGACGAGACGGAGACGGAGACGGAGACGGAGGCGGATGCGGATGCGGAAGCGCCCGATGTGGAGCGCAATGTGGTAATATCACCGTGGGGCGATGGACTGTCGACGGCTCAATTGGCCAATCTAGAATCGGCGCCCATAGCATTCATCTCGGAGATGCTGCAGCTAGCCGAAACGTCCGGTGCGCTACTCAGGGACGAGAACGCAGCGGGAGGCGGCACGAGATGGTTTGGAAATTACATTTTGCACTTTCAGGAGCAGCACCAGGAGCACCAGCAGCAGCAGCAAGGGGCCGATGAGATGGGCTTGCGACGAGGAACAGAACGGTTGAGGGTTGTGTGATGCTGCTGAATAGGTGCACTTCAGACCTGCTGGATGCTCGCATAACTCATGCGTACAAGCGACGATGTATAGAAGCGTGGATCGCAGCGCAAGGACTAGAGATGCACATTACAAATACAAGGTGGACGAGCGTGACGGAACTGGCCTGTGCACCGCTATGCTACGCACCGCACCGCACCGCACCGCACCGCACCGCATCGCATCGCAATGCTGCCATCGCGGCGCTGATTTCTTCAAAGCTGGTTGCGCTTCCTGCCGGAATTCATGAATGGTCTCAAGACCCACTCTACATCTGCGTCCGTCTGTTCCACCGTTCCCTGTCTGATCTCGTAGGGACGCATTTCGAACCTTGGACCCACTTCTGCCAGTTGAACCTCTCTGTGGGACGTTTTAACAAAGACGTGATGTCTTTTGAGTGGCGGAGCGGCAAGAAAATTGTGGGTCGGGGCAGCAGGGATCAGTCAGTAAGTGAGGTGTGGTATGAGCGGGCGACAATGAAGATATTCGATGGAGCCAATGAATTCGAATGGAGCAGGCGATAGGACTCACCTGAAACTGATGTAATCTCCTTGATTTGCAAAAGTCATGAGCCTCTTTGAATCCTCTTTGGGTACGGGAAAGAGGAATCTGAGAGCATCCATGACTCTGCTTCCCAGTTTGGAGTTGAAACCTTCGAATACGAGGTGAGGATATTGTTCGCTGACTGTGCTCTGAGCATGAGCGCTAACTTCGTGTCTCAGCACCACGCCCGACAGGGTGAAGAGCAGCGTTGGACCGTGCGGAAAGTGGCTGACGACCATGGCATCGGGCAGGCCTCTATGTTCGTGCAGCACAATCATGTCCGTCATTGCGTTGGATCTAGCAGCAGCTGCCAATTCACCGACCGTATAGCCTCCTCGATTGATGCGCGTGCTGTTGGGCAAGCATAATCGAATCTCTTTGGCGAATTGCGAGAGACGCGAAGAGGGATTGCGAGAGGTGGTGATGAGGATCTTGGGATCGTACGTTCCTGCTCGAGCGTACTCCGAGTCCAACGACGTCATCACGTCTGTCGTTCCGCGTGACAGCGACAACATGAGCGCAGCGCAAACGTGAGCAATGCCAATCAGTCAGTCAAGCGTTGTCATCCACTCCCCCATTCACCGGACCCCCACTCCCACTCCCACTCCCACTCCCGCTCCCCACTCACCAGCCTGAGCCTCATCCACCTTCAACGCTGCCCCAGCACCCATGCCACCAAACCCGTTCCTCGCATCATCACCACCTTGCAAGCCATCCATCAACTCTTTAGGAATGCTCTTGCCCTCTGCAATCAATTGTCGAATCTTTTGTTTGCGCTCAAAGATTTGCCTTTCGCGCGCTTCGGAGGCTTTGAGGTACATGTACTCTCGACGCTCCCGTGCTTGTCGACGCAGCATCGTGTGCGTGTGCGGTGCGATAGTGGATGTGGATTGAGAGACGGGGGAGAGGGGCAAGGAGACAAAAGATGGTGAAAGGGTTGAAGCGTCGTGGTGAATGGATGAAGGATCACAGGCGATGGCGATGGCGAGACCGAGAGGCTGGGGGTCCATATACTTGACTTGATATGCGGACTCATTTTGATTGATTTGCTTTTTCGTAACTTGGTCATTTAAACTCGTGACTCGCGATTCGCGATTCGTGATTATTTCTGCTTATTTCATGAAAGATTTTGATCACTTTGATGATTTCCCGATTCTTCCAAATTTTGGCCTTGCAGCAGCTCGCTTTGCAAAGATTCTTGATTTTTTGACTCAGACTTTGACTCAAAACTGATGGGCCGAAAGTGCAATTCACGTGATCTGCGCTTTTGGCATTTCTTCTCGATTTTGATTCAATTCACTCACACTGATTCAATTCACGATTCGTGATTCACTCATTCACCATTCAAATTGTGATTGTACGGCACCACAACGGCAAAGATACACGCGCTTGAGGTCGCAGCTATGCACCTATCCCACCACTTCTTTTCTGACGAAGCACCACGTTCCCCGACTTTGACTTGGAACAACACTCACACTTGCGATCTCGATCAACAGCACTTCATACGCTGCCCCTCGGCGTAAGCAAGCGAGCAAGGGACTCATCGAGCAGGGACAAGCCAAAGAGCGTGTCCAAGCTCGAGCTCAAGCTCAAGCTCAAGCTCAACGCTGCGCATACGATTCACAGCCAAGCCAATATGAGGGTCATTCATCCACGAGCGGCGCTCTTGAGCGATTACGAGGTGCTGAGCCTGCTTCAAGATATGGAAGCGGAGCAAAAGTCAGATGCCAAAAGACGCACACCGGCCATCTTCGGTACGCCGGTAGATGCGCTGGATTGCGCATCATCCGACCCAAGCGGTCTAAACTCTTTGGCTCCGGCTACTTCCCTAAGCACCACCATCGGCGCCTCCTCCTCCTCCTCCTCCTCTGCCGCCGATACGAATTCCTATCTCTCTCTACAACCTCCCAATTTACGTTCCATCCAAGCAGATACCTTGCTTTACCTCCAAGCTGAACACAAACCTTGCGTCGCAGCAGCGCAAAACGCGCAGAGCATACAGGCGTTCATCAAGGCTCTCATGAAGTGGGAGAGGGAGGAAGAGCTGGGGGACAAGAGGTTGACG